GGGGTGGGGGGGGGGGGGGGGGGGGGATGTCTACTCCAATAACTAAGCTCCCAGCAGGTGCCCCTGCAAGAATTTCACAAGACTGGTGATGACATCATAGAACTGTGTGAGATCTGATTCGCTGCAGGTGCAACCCGGCCAAGAATCTTCAGCCCGGTTCGACTGAAAAAAAAAAATCAGTATTTGCCAAACTGGGGTTCCCGGCGGGTAAAATTTTGGCCGAGTCGACAGGAATCGGCCAAAATTCAAGCAGTGCATGGCAGCCTAATGATCTGTGCATGATTGACAGCTGAGCCCACAACCGAGTGTTAGAAGAGAACCACATTTGCATAAATAAAGTTTATTTAAAAAAGAAATGAATGAGACATGTTGTCCACCAGCAGGGCTTCCCGGGGGGGTGGGGTTGGGGGTGGTGGTGTGCACGCGTGCTGACCGGAAGTTGCGGAGGGCGCTGGCACAGAGTGGGGGGCGTTTGATAAAAGCGTTGACAAGTGATTATACAATATAAGAAGGAATGTCAATGTTTAAATACACTTGGGGGTCCATCTATAAACAATGTGCAAAGCCATTCACCCGCTGTGAACGTTCGCTCTGTGTGCATAGAGGCAAAAGGGACATTCTTAGTATGTTTTCTTCTACGGTCGAATGTGATGTAATGTAATACAGCGTAATGGCCACTAGATGGCGCTGAGGAGCATAAGAAATCAGTATTAATTTCCTATGCTCTCCAGCTCCATCTAGTGGCCATCACGTGGCATTGCATTACATTAAACCTAAAAAGAAAAAGCATAATGAGGCTTGTTTTCGCAATTGTTCGCATAGAACGAACGCCCACAGAGATTCACGGGGCGAACGGCTCTGCAAATTGTTTATAAATAGCCCTCGCGGTATTACTAATGGTCCGTATGCACGCACAAAAGAAAAAAAAAAAAGCCCTCACATGCCCGACAAGGGTCGGCAGTCAAGATCCAAGACTACGTGGTCCACATGAGGAGCGTAGGACTTCACTTTCTTCACTTGCAAAATCTGAGTTTGCCACGGGGTGCCGTGAACCTCTGCGAGCATAGCCTTGATTTTAATCTCGGCCGACTCCGCCCACTTCCTCCAAGCCAACGTCCTCCAGCAGCAAGTGTCCTCCTCGGCGTCCAGTCCTCGGCTGCCGAGAAAACAGTTGACGTTATGGTGGATGTGGAGGACTCCGCCCAAGTTTTTCTTCAAGACTTTACAGGCTTTGGGGTAGCCGGCTTCGGATGTGGGGATGAGGCCCAGGTTCACTCGGTCGGCCACGTCTTCCAACATGAACTGAAAGGGATCAATCACAGCGACACATACAGGATTGTGTACAGTCAACACACGACGGGGTGTATTTTAATTAACAGGGGGTAGCAATGGTTGTCACTGATACTATATTACTTCTAGTTTAGGTTGGTGCCCCACCATGGTTTGACTAGGGCTGCAACAACTAATCGATTACAATCGATAATGAGAATAGTTGTCAACGATTCTCATTATCAATTAGTTGATTGTTCCGATTATTTGCAGCCGCTGCCGCCGCTCTGCTCCTCCGTTCTGGTTGCAGCAGTCTGCGTTCCTTTCATTCCCCGCCGGTATCGGCAGAGGCAGTGGGGACACAGACCATTGCAGCCGGCACCAGCGGGGAGGAGAGACTGCTGTGCCTCTGCAATCCCCCGTACCTCCGCTGCTGCTTCGTTCCTCCTCCTCTACCTCCCTTCCTCCCCCCCCCCCCGTATCTCCACTGCTGCTCTCTTCCTCCTCCATCCGCCCTGTTCCTCCTCCACCCGCTCCGTTCCTCCACCGGCCCGTTCCTCCTCCACCCGCTCCGTTCCTCCACCGCCCCGTTCCTCCTCCACCCGCTCCGTTCCTCCACCGCCCCGTTCCTCCTCCGCCCAGTTCCTCCTCCTCTGCCCGCCCCCCATTCCTTTTATTGCTGGGAAGCCACTCCACTGCTCCCTACTCCTTTTTCCTCATTCCCCACCTCCGTCTTCCTCCTCACCTCCTTCCTCACCTGCTTCTTCCTCCTCCTTCCTTACCTGCTTCTTCCTCCTCCTTCCTCACCTGCTTCTTCCTCCTCCTTCCCCACCTGCTTCTTCCTCCTCCTTCCTCCCCTGCTTCCTCACCTGCTTCTTCCTCCTTCCTCACCTCCTCCCCTGCTTCCTCCTCCTCCTTCCTCCCCTGCTTCTTTCTCACCTGCTTCTTCCTCCTCCTTCCCCACCTCCGTCTTCCTCCCCTGCTTCCTCCTCCTTCCTCACCTGCTTCCTCCTTCCCCACCTGCTTCCTCCTCCTTCCTCCCCTGCTTCCTCCTCCTCCTTCCCCTGCTTCCTCACCTGCTTCTTCCTCCCCAATCCTCCTCTCTACCAGCTCGAAGATATACATGTAAAGCTGCCGAAGGCTGTTCAGGTGAGCCGAGCTGAGAGAGTTGCGACCCAACAAGGGAGATCTCACCTCACTTCCTGCCAGGACAGGAAGTGATGGGAGATTTCTCCAACAGGGGACACATGCAAAAAGAAAAAACACATTTTTGGTTGGCTGAGGAATGGTATGAGATGGTGACATGGACGACGGGAACGTTACCTCTCGGTTATCTCCTTTGTGTACTTGGCATTTGTGTGAGACTTTGTTGAGTTCCAGGTTTTTCTGTAAGGCTTCTACAGCGTGAGGATTCCACTCACAGGCGTGAACAAAAGCTGCATCGGCGTGGACCAGGAATGGGAGTGTAAAGTATCCGATACCTAAAATACACAAACAACAGAAGGAGTATCAGGAAAAAAATTCAGACATACATTCAATATGGCGCTCAATGTCATTTAACCCCTTCCTGTGAGCTTAGGCTCTATTGGACCCTCCTGCCCCCTGATACCCAGTGTAATTAAACCCCATCTATGAGCCCAAATGTTCTCGATGTCTATCCTGATACCAGAACTTCCGGTATCCGGAAGCCGGGCAGCGAGTCATTACATGCTACCCGGCTTTCTGATTGGCTGGGAAGCCGGCTCCATGTTACCTCGTCACCAGGGAGCACAGGGTTGGCTTCCCGGCCAATCAGGAAGCCGTCACTCCTGATTGGCCAGCTTCCGACCAATCAGGAAGCCGGGCAGCGAGACATTACCTGCTCCCCGGCTGACTGATAAGCCAGAAAGCCTGCTCCAGGTGACGAGGGAGCATGGAGTCGGCTTCCTGGCCAATCAGGAAGCTGTGCACCATGTAATGATTTGCGTGCCGGCTCCAATCAGGAGGCCAGGCGGCGAGTCATCACCCCGACCCCATGACTTCCTAATTGGCCAGAGAGCCGGCTCCATGCTTCCTCATCACCTGGTGACGAGAGATCTGAAGAAGGAAGCAAGAGGAAGAAGCAGGTGAGGACGGAGGAGGAAGAAGCAGGTGAGGAAGGAGGAGGAAGCAGCAGGTGAGGAAGGAGGAGGAAGAAGCAGGTGAGGAAGGAGGAGGAGGAAGCAGGTGAGGAAGGAGGAGGAAGCAGGTGAGGAGGAAGGAAGAGAAAGAAGCAGGTGAGGAATAAGCAGTATTTGGGCGAGTACTTGTACTCTCCCAAATGCTCCGATACCTTCCGGTCAGAAGAAGATTTCCACTGACCGGCAGTGCCGTAGGGGAACATGGAGCCAGCTTCCCGTGCGGTATGGAAGCTGGACAGCGATGATGATTGGCTGGGAGCCAAGCACAGTCAAGCCTGCCCTACAACATGGAGACGGCTTCTCGTGCAATCAGCTTGCCCGGGAAGCCCGGTATCGGAACTCGGTATCGACAAGTACCGAGAGCAAAATACCGGTACTCGAGACCGAAAAACCAGTACCAGTGCGTCCCCAATTCTTACCCATGCCAATGTATTGCCTCCCTGCGGGGACACACACGCATATGCAAACGTGGGAGGAGGTGGTTTTCAGCTTGTGCCACCTGCGCATGGAGGCAAATATAGAACAAAAAGCCACGTTCACCTGCATACAGGTCCACCACGGTCTCTTTGGCACAGCAAAGCGCCGACAGCCTCTGTTTTTCCACAATGTTTCCAGCGGAAAACATGCACTTGGTGACGTCAAACGAGTACCTGGAGAGAGAGGAGACCGTCAGACATGCCGAAGCTGGACCTGCTTTTATTTTGCCTCCCCTGGTCCCTCCACCTTCAAGAGTTGCGTCTGCCTCTGCATGCCTGCAACTGTCAATTTTGCAATGCCTCATGGGACTTGTAGTTCCACGACAGCCGGAGGGTTGGTCTAGGTGCAGTGGTGGCGAACCTTGGCACTCCGGCTGTGCCAAAACTACAAATCCCAACATGCATCTGCCTCTGGGAGTCATGTCTGTGGCTGTCAGAGCCTGGCAATGCCTCATGGGACTTGTGGTTCCAAAACAGCTGGAGTGCCGAGGTTCACCACCACTGGTCTAGGGGCTGGAATAAGGAAGATAGACCTACCTGATCCTCAGTCCTGTAAGGCCCCTAGACAGCCTCTTCTCCCCCGGGGCTGTGGAGGTCTAAGCCCTGCTGACGTCATCACATCTAATGCAGATCCATTCACCTGCATTAAACGTGAGGACGCCGGAGGAACATACCATAGTCGGAGCGGAGAGCTGAGTACCGACTGCAGCAGGACCGGGGATCAGGCGAGTATATCTTCTGTATTCCGGCCCCTAGACCAAAACGACTACTTAACCCTTGCAGTGCTTAAAGGAGAACTATGAGGTAAGTGCTTTTCACTCACCTCATAGTTCTAGCCAACCTGTGACAATGAGACTGTCACAGGTCGGCTCAGTAGATCGGGAGGTGAGCGAACACATACCGGCGTTCGCTCACCTCTCGATCCTGTCACGGCTCTCTGCCATGACAGGGGGAGGGGCTGGATTCCTGTCTCCCCGCTCCGATCCTCCAGCGCTGACTGGCAGAACGGACGGGGGAGGGGGCGGGTACAGCTGGCTCTGCCTCTAGATAGGCAGAACCAGCTGTCACTCACGCAGCTGGGCGGATCCCGGCACAATTGTCAGGATCCGCTTCAGCTGCGGCGTCTCAGTATATTGCGAGCTGTAGCCCCCTATATACTGAGCTTAGGGTGACGGGAGGACGCTAGTTTGTGTCCTCCCGTTACCCTGAGGAGAACTATGGGGAAAAGCCCTGACCCCCATAGTTCTCCTTTACCCCTTTATTTTTATCTGGTGATCCTGCCAGTAACACACTTCCTCTCCTAGGGTGATGATGCTCCCATACTGTACTATATCTATACAAGAGCGGGGGGGGTGTCCTGCAAGCCAGAGAGAGAACTGGGAACAATGTAACTGATAACATGCAGCAGAGGTAGAGAGCACTGGAAATTATCAGCTCACAAGATTACTGGCAGGATCAGCAGGTATTTGTTTTTGCCCAGATCTACAAAACTCTTTCAATGGGATAGTGAGGAGACCCCGAGGGAGCGAATACCAGACGCTCGTTGTAAGGGTCTGCATACACTTTAAAGGAGAACTATGAGGGGAGTGATTTTCACTCAGCCTCATAGTTAGAGCCGACCTGTGACAATGAAACTGTCACAGGTCGGCTCAGTAGATCAGGAACACATACCGTCGCTCGCTCACATCCCGATCTATCTCTGCCTGACTGTCTGTCACTCACGGCTCCCTGCAGGGATTCCCCCCCTCCCGTCTGATCCTCCAGCGCTGACTGGCGGAACGGACGGGGGGGGGGCCGGGTACAGCTGGCTCTGCCTCTAGATAGGCGGAGCCAGCTGTCAGTCACGCAGCTGGGTGGATCCAGACAGTAATGTTGGGATCCGTCCCGGCCGCGGCGGTCTCAGTATATAGGGAACTGTAGCTCGCTATATACTGAGCCTAGGGTGACGGGAGGACGCTAGTACATGTCCTCCCGTGATCCCGAGGAGAACTATGGGGAAAGACACCTACCCCATAGTTCTCCTTTAAGTTACATTAATTTGCCTTTCTTATACAAGCTACCTGATGCCATTATCCACATGCTCTACCCATCCGTCGTCCCCCAGTAGCAGGGTCACATTCGGAGACCTCCATCCGTCATCTTGTACACGACTTTGCTTGGCCACGCGTTTCACTCCGAGGGAACTCGCTACTTGCACCCTAGTCTAGAGCAGCGGTAGGCAAACTCCGGCCCTCCGGCTGTGGTGCAACTGCAAACCCCATCATGCTTCTGCCTCTGGGAAATCATGCCTGTGGCTGTCAGAGTCTTGCAATGCCTCATGGGAGTTGTAGTTGCATCACCGCTGGAGGGCCGGAGTTTGCCCCACCCCCTATTGGCTTCCTGTAAATATAAAACACGCACTATAGGCTTCATTTATTAAATGTTGCATGGTACTAGTGCCCCTAGATGGCGCTGTTGGGTATAGCAAGTCCTAGACTCATCAGCGCCACCTAGGGGTACTAGTGCCACGTGAACGGCATCCACCTGGATATTATAAATAAAGCCCAAAGAGACACAATGTTTACTTTCTGATGTACTGCAATGCTCACCGGCATGATTCGGGTCCAGTACTTACCCAACTGCTTCCATACAGGATCGCAGAAGCAGTCTTCGCTGAGAACGACCAAGTCGCCGTGTCGCTGCCATGAGTGAGGGAGGTCGTGATCCAGGTTCCTCCTCCAGATGATCCCTTGGTGCTCCAGCAGGTCACACAGGTCCATACGTAACTTTTGGGCTGGTGACTGAACTCTGGCACGCTTGGAGAGCACAGGATTCTAGAAGGCAAAAAAAGCCACAACGGCATGCGCTATTATTTACACAAAGCTCACTGGAATAGTAGAGGAGTATGCTGTGCCTTTATTACACATGCGCCCCCATATTGTTATTATTATTATAGGCATTTCTATGGCTTCTTCCACTTATCTCTGAGTTTGCCCTTACAAATGCTGAAAGTGTACACTGCACTGTATGCATACAGCAAGCAGGGCCGGGCCAAGGGGTAAGCAGAAGAGGCATCTGCCTTGGGTGCTCAGTAGGAAGGGCGGGGGAGCAAAAACACTTAGACCTGCAACCTATGCTGCGGATGTAGTTGAAAGAACATGAAGAAGGGGGTGCAACCGGGTCTCCTTGGGGGCCAGCACGTCTTATTGGGTGCGACCATCACTCCCTGGGTAGGCCCATGTCTCCGGCAGTGCCACCAGGGGCAGGACCACCAGGTCTCCAGGGGCAGGACCAGGTCTGCAGGAGGGGCAGGCCCCGCGTCTGCAGGAGGGGCAGGCCCCGCGTCTGCAGGAGGGGCAGGCCCCACGTCTGCAGGAGGGGCAGGCCCCGCGTCTCCTTGTGTCCAACCAAGTCTACTTGGGTGCGACTATATCTGGACACTGACCCCAAGCAGTGTACACGGCACGTAACACCTGCGTTGCAGCTCGGTGAATTGGGCCCACGGTATATCAGTACCTGATCATACAAGTATTCACCTTGATCAAAGTTTCCCTGCAGGAGCTTCCAGGGGCCACAGCTTCCATGAGCTCTTTCAGGAGTGACACGGTGATCTTCTCTTTAAGCACCGGAAGGGCCACCGTCCCCTCCTCCAGCTTCTGTGCGCGGTATCGGCCATCTAATATTCCTGCATTCTGCAAGTATTCTCTAAAATAAAAGGCATTGGACGGATGACTCGTTATATACGAATGTAGACAGACATTCTCCCACGACCTCTTTGCAGCCACTTCCTGTCTAAACGCACTCCCGCTTTTTGACCCCTGAAACGGCGTTAAACATCGAAATTCTAATCATTCAATTAAAACTTTATTGTTCCAGAGACATAGACGTCAAAGCCCAGCCTGGGACTGCCCTTCTCTTAGAAGAGGAGGTCCCCGGTGAGGCTTCAGTGTCTGTGTCTCTGGAACAATAAAGTTTTTATTGAACGCTAAGGTTCTAGCGATCCAATGCTCCCTCTTGCTGGCCACACCTGCACATTACAGCCCCCATAGACGTCTATGGGACGGATGAGAGGGAGCCTTGCAGCGCTGGAGGTCAGCAAAATGGCCCTCAGATGAAAATGAAGAGCACTTATGCTTTTTGTCCCCCCACTCCTGACCTAAACGATTTCACCCCCTCCCCCTTACACAGATCTGTACTTATCAGGATCCGAAGGGGGCGGTTCCGCTATTTACATCCAGTGCCGCAAAGATCCCAGGGGGGCGGTTCCACTATTGTTTACAATCAGGGCCGCAATGCTCCCCCTGCTGGCCGCACCTGCACATTACAGCCCCCATAGACTTCTATGGGATGGATGAGAAGGTGACTCGTAGCTCTGGATGTCAACAAAAGAGCAGAGCCGCAGCGTTCAGATTAAAATGAAGAGCACGTATCCTTTTTGTGCCCCACCCCTGACAAACAATCCCACCATCTCCCAACGCAAATCCGTACTTGCTGAGATCCGAGGGGGGCGGTTCCACTACTGTTTACATCCAGGGCCACAAAGCTCCCTCTGCTGGCCAGACTTGCACATTACAGCCACATAGAGTTCTATGGGATGGATGAGGTGGTGACTCGTAGCTCTGGATGTCAACAAAACAGCGGAGCAGCAGCGTTCAGATTAAAACTAAATGCACTTATGCTATTGGCCCCCCAACTCTGACCTTAACAATCCAACCATCTCCCTCTGCAGATCCGTACTTGCTGAGATCCGAGGGGGGCGGTTCTACTATGGTTTACATCCAGGGCCACAATGCTCCCCCTGCTGGCCAGACTTGACATTACAGCCCCGTAGACTTCTATGAGATGGATGTAGCCAGGAGAGGAAGACTTACAGTGCTGGATGTCAGCAAACAGTGGCCCTCAGATTAAAATAAAGTGCACTTATACTTTTTGTGCCCCACCTCTGACCTAAACTAGCCCACTCTCCCTGTCCACACATCTATACTTACTGAGATCCGAGGGGGGCGGTTCCACTACCGTTTACATCCAGAGCCACAATGCTCCCTCTGCTGGCCAGGCTTGCACATTACAGCCCCCATAGACTGCTATGGGATGGATGAGAAGGAGACCTATAGTGCTGGATGACCACAAGCAGCGGAGCAGCAGCCCTCAGATTAAAACTAAATGAACTTATTATATTGGCCCCCCAACCCTGAGCTTAACAATCCCACCATCTCCCTCTGCAGATCTGTACTTGCTGAGATCCGAGGGGGGAGGTTCTACTATTGTTTACATCCAGGGCCGTAATGCTCCATCTGCTGGCCAGACTTGCACATTACAGCCCCCATAGACTTCTATGAGATGGGTATGGCCAGCAGAGGTAGACTTGCAGCGCAGCAAAGAGCAGAGCAGCAGCCCTCGGATTTTCACTTTGTCTAAGATTGCACTTGTTCTTTAAACTGCCTCTGTGCTGCGAGCTATGTGATGGGATAATAAGGAGGAGTGAGTGACACGGGTGCCCTAAATATGTTCACGCCGCGCACTGTACCTGTATTTCTGAGAGAAGGCGCACTGTGTAAGAAGCGCTGGGACATCCGGAAACCGATCTTCCTCCAGTTCCATATTGCAGCCAGCGGGAAGAACTAACGCGAGGCCTCTCTGGGGAAAGGTAAGTGTACAGGAAGAGGGTCAGGCAGACATTCATTGACACATGTTACATTAACAGCTGAAGTTTAGTCTGCCTATCTAAGGGCAAGATGATGCTGGACGTCCTCCAGCCAGGAAAGGAGGCGGGCTCTATCTGACTGGCTGCAACTTCTAGTGTACATTGTGAGGAGCTGCCAGTGTGCGGTGACATCAGAGGAAGACATTTCAGTCCAGGAGAGGAGCCGGGACAACTGTGCAAGAGTGAAGGGGAGGCCGGAGTTCAGATTTAAATGCTTTTTAAAACATTTCAACAATATCCATTACCACCCAACCCCCACCCCTCTCACTCCGTGTGTGTCCCGTGTATGCTCTGACTGTGCGTGCGTGTCCTGTGTCTGCTCTGACTGTGCGTGTGCCCTGTGTCTGCTCTGACTGTGCGTGTGTGTTCTGTGTCTGCTCTGACTGTGCGTGTGCCCTGTGTATGCTCTCACTGTACGTGTGCCCTGTGTATGCTCTCACTGTACGTGTGCCCTGTGTATGCTCTCACTGTACGTGTGCCCTGTGTATGCTCTCACTGTGTGTGTGCCCTGTGTATGCTCTGACTGTGCGTGTGTGTTCTGTGCATGCTCTGACTGTGCGTGTGCCCTGTGTATGCTCTCACTGTGCGTGTGCCCCGTGTATGCTCTCACTGTGCGTGTGCCCCGTGTATGCTCTCACTGTGCGTGTGCCCAGTGTGTGCTCTGACTGGGCGTGTGCCCTGTGTGTGCTCTGACTGGGCGTGTGCCCTGTGTGTGCTCTCACTGTCTGTGTGTGTCCCGTGTATGCTCTCACTGTCTGTGTGTGTCCAGCGCAAGTGACAGCGCACCTTCTCATTCCAATGGCGCCTGATCATGCCACACAGCGTGTGACGGCAGCCATGATGGCTACAGGAAGTCTTTGCTGTAGGAGTCCTCCCGGATGAATCACTCAGAGAGCTGCAAGGAAAAAGAGAGGAACCTCCTGAATGGAGCACACTGCCAGGGGAAGGGAAGAGACGTCACACAGGAAGTGGTCAGATAAAGATGTGTATGTGGGAGGAGTTATCTGTAGAGGGGACACAAATCATTGAATGAAAAAGGGGAACTGGCTGAAGGAAGGGAAGGGGAAGGGAAGGCAGGGCATGGGAAAAATGAAGGAAGGGAATGAGGAAGAGGGAGGAAGAGAGGGAATGGGAGGAAGGGAATGAGGAAAAGGAAGGAAGGGAGGGAATGAGTTAAAGGGAGGGGATAAAGAAAGAGAAGGGAAAAGAAAAAAAAAAAGAGGAAGGAGTAACATGAGGTGAAAGTGAGGGAGGAAGGAAGGGTAGGGATGAGGGAAGGTAGGGATGAAGAAGGGAGGAGAGGGAAGGTAGGGATGAAGAAGGGAGGAGAGGGAAGGTAGGGATGAAGAAGGGAGGAGAGGGAAGGTAGGGATGAAGAAGGGAGGAGAGGGAAGGTAGGGATGAAGAAGGGAGGAGAGGGAAGGTAGGGATGAAGAAGGGAGGAGAGGGAAGGTAGGGATGAAGAAGGGAGGAGAGGGAAGGGTAGGGATAAAGAAGGGAGGAGAGGGAAGGGAGGAGAGGGAAGGGTAGGGATAAAGAAGGTAGGAGAGGGAAGGGTAGGGATAAGAAGGGAGGAGCAGGAAGGGTAGGGATGAAGAAGGGAGGAGCAGGAAGGGTAGGGATGAAGAAGGGAGAAGAGGGAAGGGATGAAGAAGAAGGGAGGGAAGGGTAGGGATAAAGAAGGGAGGGAAGGGTAGGGATAAAGAAGGGAGGGAAGGGTAGGGA